AAAAGTTAAGAGCCAGCCCCATGAGGATTGGATGTGTACGTTGCTTCTCTTTCTTGCTTATATCAAATGCCTCTTGGTAGGCTCCTTGGGAATTATCTATCATTTGTTTTCGATCATCGCAACATGCTACTTCAGCAAGATACTGGAAATAATCTCCCTTCCTCTTCAGATAGAAGACCTTACTCTCTGGATTAGTTGCATTGGCTATTAACTACTTATCCAACAATTCCAGGACTGTGGTGCAGTTGGACCTCAGCTCCAACTCCACTTTCTCCCGATAGTCCTTGATCAGCTGCAACTTCTTCTCGAAAGTTTCGGTCTTCTTCTCGATGCTCAAGATGACCCTTCAGGCAGTTCTGCGGCCCCAGACCACTTTCTTGTAGGCCACTCACTAGCTGGAGATTTCTCCAGTCCTGCTGGGGGGGGGGCAGTTCTGCAGCCCATTTATAAAATAATCACTCAGAAGCTCGTATTAATTAAAATTGTTTGGTCCTTAGCTCAGGCTAACTATTGACCAGCTCTTACATCTTAAATTAACCCATTTCTATAAATCTATAGCTTGCCATATGTCTTATGGTTTACCGGTATGTTACATCTTGTTACTCCTGGAGGCAGCTGGCAGCATCTCTCTGCCTCAGCCTTCCACTTCCCAGAATTCTCCTCTCTCCTTGTCCAGCCTATACTTCCTGCCTGGCTACTGGACAATCAGAGCTTTATTTATCAATCAGTCATCCACAGCAGCCTACAGCAGGTTGTGCTCATCTTTGGACAGCTAAGTGCCCTGCTCACTCACGGCTTTAATGCAAGTGGCCATGTTGTCATAGCACTTGGCCTGCTCGGCCAGCTTGGCCTTCTGGATAAGCTCAGTCTTCTCCATGGCGAGTGAGGGCAAGCGCCAAGCCAGATCCAAAGTCCTCCTTCTAGTCTCTACGGCTGCAACACGAGTCGAAATTAGGGCACTTTCCACCAAGACTGTTACCTCAGAACCACAATTCAACATAGTAAAGAGAAAGAACTAAGAACCAAGTCCCACAGGTGGTCCTCCAACTTTCCAAAGAGCACCATCTCACACACATATCCACATTATTATGCAAGACACACTCCCACACACACAGACACACACAGACACACACACACACACAGACACACACACACACATACACACACATCATATACACACAATAATAATGAATTAGTAAAAAATAACAATATAAGAACTTTTAAGAATTTAAAGTATTCAAAACCACAACTGTCAGGGCTAAAGTTTCTCTGTAGTAATAGGATTTGCTGAATCATTACAGATACTAGCCAGCAAAGGACCAAGTCCTGGGACAACTACCAGCAGCAGGGCTAGATAGCAATTGGAGAAAGGAAAGCATAAGTTCTGTACATTGAAATGACATAGATTATAGATAAGAGCAGTGAGAGAACTCAAAACAGGGGCAGTTTTGGGGGAGATCGATCATCAACAAGAAGTGCTTGTTGCTTGAGGTTGCCAGACCTCTTTGCTGGTTAGAGTTAATAACATGGAAATTATATCCATATGCAGGACAGAGTTGCACCTGCTGGTAACCATTATGATTTAACTAAGTTTCCAATGTATATGCATGTATTGTCATTGTGAAAGAATCTCCAGTGTTCAGGAGACAAGTGTTGGCAGGTAAGAATCAGGTTTATTATGTACCCTGAAGAAGGAAGAGCTAGTTCCTTAAAGCTGTCATCTCAGGCTCAGAGCTTGTGATGGTTTCTGTTGTCAACTTGACAAATAAGATTCACCTGGGGAAAAAGGCCTGAGCATGCATGTGAGGGATTATCTTGATTACCTTAATTGATGTGGGAAGACCCATCTTAATTTTGGTGGGCCCATTCACCTGGACTGTGGGAAGTGGAGCAGCAAGCCGTACTGTTCTCTGCTTCTTGGCTGTGGATGAAATGCCCAGCTGCTTCAACTTGACTTCTCTACCAGCATGGACTGTACCTTGAGCCGTGGGCTGAAATAAACTCTTCTTTTTGTATGCTGCTCTTGTCAGAGTTTCTATCATAGCAACAAGGAAGAGCTAAGACAGGGCCAAAGGATGTTTTTATGGGCAGAGTCAGTGAGGCTGCAGGCTGGACAGGCTTGGTAAGGAAGAGTCTGTGTCTTCTCTAGAACATCATAATGGATTTTGCCCTTATACTAGTTTGCTAAGGAAGGGCTAGAAGTCTAAATATGACTGAAGAGATGAGTACTGGAGAAATCAGAAGAGAGATGTGCAGTCAGTGTGGCACATTGAGAAGAAATTAGATAAAGAGGCCTAGGTCTGTCTTTGAGAACTGACATGTTTCAGGTTTTTATAGAGGATGAGTTGGAGCAGTAGAAATAATCTAACAATTTCAGTCAAGGTGTGGTCTGGTTGCTCATCCTCAGTTCTGGGCCTACATGTTCCTTCAGAGTTCATACTGCTGCCAAAGCCAGAAGAGACAAACCAGTTCCTGTGAGATGATTGCTCCTGTTGTGTGCACAGCTCCTGTTATTCCCAGTAACGTCAGGTTTAGGACAATGATTGGGAATGGAGTTCTGAACAGCACATGGAAAGGCTCAGGGAAAAATGCTTCAGTTACTCTTACTTCATCTTTGAAAGGACCTGAGACAGATTAGATGCTGTGGGGGCTTCAGGCCTCCTGCCTCATAATAAGAGGCCCTGGAGATGCAGTGAAATTCTGGCAAAGTCAGTTGCCAACCCAAAGTGGCAGGTGCCACACTGAGTGTGAAACATCCATTCCATCACTGAGTGCAAGTCCACTCCCCCTCTTTCCCATTGGTTGGATATTGCAGAAGGTAAAGACTTTCCCATCTGACACCTCAGCTTCATCATCCCTCATGCCCCCCATCTCTCACCATTCCAAATTCTTTCCCTAATCCTGTTTTGCAGATGTTCAGTCTTATAAATCAGCTATTGTGAAGTTGTCCTGTGATGTAACTGGCCCAGAATCTGCTTTAGTCATGGCCCCACCCCTGACCTCTTTTGATGCATGCACTTAGTCACAGAGTATGCTGTCTGGATTTTTTTTTATTTTATTAAGCTGCATTTTGTTTGTGTTTGTGAGGGTATATCATTCCATACATGGACTACAGTGCATGTGTGAACATCAGGGAACAACTTTCAGGAGTAAGGTCTCTCCATCTACACTATGGTTCCCTAGAATGGAACTCAGGTCATCTGTATTGTAAAGGGCAAGTGCCTTTACCCTAACCCTGTATTTTCCCACTGGAGATAAACCTTGAAAGAAGTTCACCAAAAGGCAGACAAGCAGATGTCAGCCTTTGGGATGGGAGACCCAGCATCTGATGTTTCTCTGAAGCCATAAGACATCTGTGTATTGAAAATGAAACATATTTTATTTCTTATAATATTCCTTATTTGTATATGTACACTCTTTGAATAGTTAATATGTACATATATAGTTAAACAGGAGTCTGGTGATGTCAGACTTTCTTTGAACTGCCAGACTCCAAATAATGACTCAGAAGCTTTTTATTAATTATGAAAGCTTGGCCTTAATTAGGCTAGTTCCCAACTAGCTCTTATAACTTATTAACTGATTTATATTAATCTACATTCTTTCCTATGGCTCATTACCTCTCCTCTGTACCTGCATCCAAATTCCTCAGTGTCTGGATGGCCAATTCCATGCACCTCAGAGTCTTTCCCAGAGTTCCTTTCTCTGTGTGCCTATACTCACCTGTCTAACTATTGGCCAGCACTTTATTATATGATTCAGCTCTTTATTAAAACAATAGGTGCCTTAAGCAGGCAAGGTAAAACAGTGACACATCTTTACATAGTGTGATTAAAAAGCTGCAACAGTCTGGCCCAAAGTAAAGGACAGATCTAAAATGAAGATGGGAATGCCAAGCTTTTGTCTTTTTGGTTTCCTGGTGAACCCTAGTGAAAGTTGATGCTTTTTAACAAAAGCAGTTTCTAGGTGCCCGTTTTTATCCGACATCAAGTCAGAGATGTCAAACTTTTTATCCCATTTGAGTCACTCTTCAGATGTCTGCAAGTTTTAGCAAAGCTTTGAAGCCCTACAAAGTGGCATGCACAACTGTTAGAGCTCACATAGCAGAGGTCTTATCCACATAAAGACAAATGTGAAGACACTAATGTATGACATCCAAAATTCATACTATCTTAATTTCTATAGGTGCCACCTATCTATTAAGAGGTAAGGGGCCCAGAGTTTCTTTGTCTTCTATCCCCTGGCTGTCACTAACTGCCTTGGCTTTGCCTCTGTATGGGTACAAATCCAGTAAACGATGCCAGGAGATAACAGAGTGAAGGAAAGGCTTTCTTCTTCCAGCAAGAAAGAACACACTGGGAATAATTTCCAAAGCAATTTCTCCCAGGGAAAAAAGGCAAAAAGCTGTACTTTTCTTTTCCTTTACTGAGAAAACGTATCCATACTTACATAGGTATGTTGTTAGATGGAAACATCCTTGAGTATTCTCAGTTCAAGCTCAAGGTCATGAGTTGTTCAAAAGAGGGGGTGGCATCTAGGAATTCTACAGGGCAGAAAATGTAGTATTACAGTGGGCAAAGTTTACCCTAGGTTGCCTAAAAAGAGTGAGTCAGAGAGACTGGGATGTTTTCTGATTCCTAGGTTTCTCTGGAGGAGATTTTCCCAAACCAGTAAGTATCACCTACAAGTCACTGAAGGAGCACTAGAGAGACGGCTCACATGGCTTTTTATAGAACTGAGTTCAGTTCCCAGCACACACAAAAACTTTGCAGGGATATCAATAGTCATTTAAAGGGCATCAGCTTCCTCAGCTCCATAGTTGTATGTAATGTACAAATACCTGCCTGGTACCAAACATAACCAGTAGTATCCAAGTGACCTTGCTATCCATTTGAGAACCTGGATGAGAAGTGAGGAGTGGAAGGGAAATCCATGTTCTGAGGGAAATATCTGTGAAGGTAAACTTTTCTAAGAACTATTAAATTGCCAATCATTATTGAGTTGTTTCTACGATTTTCATTATGTAATGTTAGCTGTTGGCACTGTTTCCATAGGTATGAAACTACTTCAAGTCCCACCAGTCATTGTGATTGTTGGAAACCCAGCCTTACTGGAAGTTAAGACGGAAGGCTATTATGATGTCACTGATAGTTACAATTTGAATACTCATGTAGCTAGCAAATTTTTCCATAAAGTAAGAGTTTTTTAAATTACAAAGCAATCTATTAAAATAGAAAATATAGACTTAGTAGCTATGAAAGACAAGCTTAATCCTTCCATCAAGGGTATAAAGTACACTTAACATGTATGATATTTTATAAGGCAGGGTGGATGTTTTGATAATGGCTAGACACATGAGTTCTGCTCAGGAGTGTTGTACACCTTTAATATCAGCACTCTGGGGGGCAGGAGCAGGCAGAGATATCTGAGAGATTGAAGCCAGCCTGGTGTATATAGTGAGTTACAGACCAGTCAGCACTATGTAGTAAGAGAATCTTAAAAGAATAAAAATTAAAAAGCTTTTATATTTTTACATTTTTAAGTCTTTTTTATAATTTTATCTTTTGTGTTCTCTTTATTGATAATCAGAATTTCTCTCTTGCTCTTTTGTGCCCTTCCAGTTCATTTTCTTTTTCTTTTTCTTCTTTTGATTTCTTATTTCTGTCCCATGCCCCTTCCTGTTTCCATATTTTACCTTAAATGTTTTGAACCTCAAACCACACTCCAAATTATTTTTAGCCATTTTATTGTATATGGTTATTGATAACATAGTACATGGCTTTAATATATTTTGTTATATTCCTATATCTGATTTAGTTTGATAATGCTATGCATATGTCAGTTTATTTCCCTCCGCCTACGTCCTGCTAGGGTCTAATGGTCAGCTTTAACTACCAACTTGGCATAATCTACAATCACCTGGGAAAGGTGTCTCAATAATCTTGTTTAGATCACGTTGGCCTATGAGCATACCTAAGAAAAATTTTGTTAATTAGGTTAACAGAGGTGGCAATACCCACCCTGGATATGAGAAAACAGAGAAACAATATTAACAATCATCAAGACAAAAAACCCTTGGTGCTGGGAATGTGGCTCAGTTGGTAAAGTGCTTGTCTGGCATGCATGAATCCTGGGGTTACATATACCAGGTACATTAATACTTACTTATAGTCCCACCACTTAGAAAGTAGAGGCAGGAGAAAATAATCAACTCGTGCAAGTTGCCCTCTGATCTGTACAACACACACACACACACACACACACACACACACACACACACACACAAGTAAATGTAGAAAAAACTAACCACAAAGCATGAGACTACCTCAGTCAGTCTGTGTCAAGGGTTTTAAATAGCTCTTTTAATGTTGTTTTGCATCTGCTACTTGTTGACTTGCTCTATGCTTAATAAACTCATTCATTCAAAACCAAAAACACAACTACCATAGATCATTCTCTGGATCATTACAAACAATGTTGGGGGTGTTCCAGGGATTCTAACCTTCATTCCTTGATCTTTCCAGGGTTCTACTTCACTATCAATGATTATATGGGAAGCCTCAACTTCATGCTCTATAACTACAGTGTTGCCCATCATGAAGAGCAGTTGCAGCTACCTCAAGACTCTACAACACATTCCTGGCAGACAAATACCACGTGAAGACTGGATTAGTGGAGTTCACAAGGACAGTCAGGGTTTCAATATGATCAAAACTCTGCCGGTAAGAATTTTACTGTAGCACCTTTAAGAGAACAAGTGATGTGTTTCTCCTGTGTACTCCCATGGACAGTCTGTGTTAGCATTTCTGCTCTGAGGTGCTCTAGCACTGCCATCATTTTCAAACTGGGTCATTTTGAGAACATGATGGTGAGGATCCATTTGTAAACTGAGAAAACCTTCTGAACTAACGGTGTTTCTTACTAACTCCTCTCATCACTATTAGTATCATCATACAATGATGGTATAATCTTGGGCTTTTGTGATACATGCAGCTGTTTTGACTTACAATAACGTGTCTCAAACTAATGCATCTGATTGGTCCTATTTCTCTTTGGGTTTAAGTTTGTTTGGTTTTGTTGTTGTTGTTGTTTTTTCCTCAGATAAAGTTACAAAATGTTGAACTTGAACTTTCAGTTCTGCTGTAGACAATATTATTTCAATATAGTAATTTTTTCTTTTGTTTTGTTAGACTTGTGAGTCCAACAAATAATTTTGTTTTTGTGTGTATGAGAGTGGCCAATGTGCACATGTGCAAGTGTGTGTGCAGGTATGTTTGCCCATGTGGTGTGGAGGCCAGCAGTTAACATCAGAATGTCTTCCTCAATTGTTTCTCTGCCTTATTTCTGAGGCAAGGTCTCCCACTGAGCCTAGAGATTTCCCATTTTCCCTAAACTGGCCAACAAGCTCCCAGGATAGGCCTGTCTCTGTCCTTAGCATTGGGGTTACCAGTTCATACCGCCACAATTAATTTTCACCTGGGTACTAGGATCCAAACTCAGGCCATCACACTTGAGTAGCAGACACTAAGAGCTGAAATATCTGATCAGCCATTTTTGTTGTGTTTTGTTTTATTTGGGGATTCCTATGACCATTTTAAAACTAAAAATTAGCTGATATACTACTTTTAGTTTTGTGACAGAAAAAAAAAATAATAAAATTTGAAGGTGTGTTCTAAGTGCATTATGGAGCCTCTTCTGTAAAATGCTTGGATACACCTGCATCAACTTTATGACAGCTGTTTTAAGTAGTGAAAGTCATTTTCACCTCATTACAGGTCAGGATTACATCATCACAGGGTAAGGTTTTTGAAACTATAGAAACTTAGGGGTACAGATAATGAAGAGGAGAAGTTTACTGTAATGTGTGGAGCTGAATGTGAAATATTTGCATGAAACAGTTGTCTAGAAAAACAAAATATTTGTGCCTTGATGAATAATAACACGTGGCCCTCTTTCTTTGCTTAAACACTTGCAGATAAACTACAGACCTCCATCCAATATGGGAATTTCTATTCCTCTCACAGATAATATTTATCATGCAGACCCTAGCAAACCCAGACCAAGAAGTCTATTTCACAAGTCAAAGGTAAATAATTTGTCTCTAAATGAACTAATGCAGTGTTTGTTTTATATTTAAGAAATCACTGTGCTGACTTCATGGGTTAGCTGGTAAAGGCACTTGACATCAAGCCTGAACCTCAGTCTGACCCCCAGGAAGCAGTAGAAGGAAAAAAATGATTCCTGCTAGTTTGCTCTAAACTCTACCCACTTCATGACATATGCACCTCACACACACACACAGATACATGCCTGATACATACGTATTAACATATATATGTAATATGTATATGTGTTTACTTGTTTACTTTCAATTTTAAAAGAGATACCCTTTATTTAGAGTGTACAATGGCACAGTTATGGGAATTTAATGAGAAAGTGCATCCATTTTTATTACTCCAGGACTACTGCTGTCCCTTTTTCAGCTACTCCAGCTTTGGCCCTTTCAACTGCTCTCACACTACTTTCCAGCTGTGGTAGTTTTTGAATGTAACTGTGCCCCATAAGCTCATAGGGAGATGTGGCCTTGTTGGAGGAAGTGTGGTCTTCTTGGAGGAGGCTGGATGATACACACCTTTAATCCAGACCTTAAGGCTGAAGGGCACACCTTTAATGTGGGCCACACCTTCTGTTGGAAATGTGTCATTATGGGGGTGGGATTTGAAGTATTTTTCTCAAGCTTCACTCAGTGTGATACTCAGTTGACTTCCTGTCCCCTGTAAGATATAGCACTCTCAGCTCCAGCACCACATCTGCCTGCACGCTGCCATGTTCCCCTTCATGGTGATGATGGACTGAACCTCTGAACTGTAAACCAGCCACCTCAATGAAATGTTTTTCTTTATAAGAGTTGTCGTGGTCATGGTGTCTCCTCACAGCAATAGAACACTGACTAAGACAGCAGCCAAGAAGCTCATATGGATGCTCTCCTTGACTTCTCGGCTCCCATGTAGATTTCAAAGGACATAGGTAGAGGAATACCCTTCTGTTTTTAAATGAAAGGAGGAATTAGGACCATCTCAGGTCTTTCATCCTTGTAAAAGGAATGGTGTCCAAAAGGAAAGGCCACCCTTTGTCCTGACATAGGCACATTTAAACTCCTGCTGTGTTATTAGTAGAAAGTAGGCTGGCCCCCTGGAGTTGGCTGACACCTACCAGGGGGTGAAGTGAGCATGATAGAACACAGGGAAGCATTAGGGGTCAGAGAAAAGGTGTATTATCTGGAGAACACCTATGGTGCCTAATATGCAAACGGACATACACAAGCACTACACAAATTAGCATTTCTCTTGCTGAAAACAAGTCAATGTCTTCCCATTACTTTCAAAGGGAAAACTTGACTTTGGCATCACACTGACCCTTGTCAATGAGAGTCAGGGAGACAAAGCCTGAGGAGTTTCCCCTCAGGGACCTCCACTAAGTGAAGCTGAAATCTTGACTATGCCACAGAAGAGCATTCCAGGATGAATCAGAACCGAGAAGAGAGAAGAGCTCAGTTTGGAGCTCAGTGAAATCAAGACATGCTGCACACCTTAGCCTTAGGTATTGTTAAGCACTGTTGCTCAGAGAGGGACCTGAGGTGTCATATGCATGATTCTGTGGCCTGCAATATTACATTGCTAAAAGATGTGACTTACAGCCATGTCAAAGACTCAGTAAAATTTAAAATTAGGCCAAGTTTTAAAAGTAAGCTTTTAAAAAGCATATGTACTTGTTGGTTTATCTCCATTATGTATTTCTTTTTGGCCTGATGTGTTGGGACCAACATCCCAGCATGCTAGAGGCAAAGGAAGATGAATCTCTGTGAGGTGTCAAGCTAAGGTCTTGACCAGTCCAGCGTGGTCAAGTGAGAGAATTTCCTTTTGTAAATGAAATATTAAGACGTTTTGTGAGGTTCCTTGTTCAAGTTTCAAGGTGAGGATGGTGTGCTACTATAGTTCCACTCAAAGAGCATATTAGTTCTGGCCCTAAGCACACATGGCCCACTTTTTCCATATTCTGGTGTTGTGTAATTTTGTTTGTGTTCTGAGAAATAAAGCTTGCCTGGTGATCAGAGGGTAGAGCAAGCCACTAGTTAACCATAGAGGCCAGGCAGTAGAGGCTCTTGCCTTTAATCCCAACACTTGGGAGGCCTGCCTTTAATCCCAGCACAATCGGGAGGTGGAGACAGGAATATTAGGTGGGTGGAGACAGGATCTCACCCCTAATCGGTCTAAGGATTTGTAGAGGAAAGAAGCCACTAGCAGCTACTCCTTTCCTTCTCTGATCTTTTGGTTATTACCCCAATATTTGACTCCTGGATTTTAATTGATAAGACTAAATAGAATCACACTTTGTTCTGGTGGAAAAGATCACTCAAAAGAAGGATTATTGTCTCTGTACAAAATCCATATAGAGATTTGATTTCTTTCAGATGTATCGAAGTTCTTGACACTAAGCCAAAGACAAATACAGATTAGGTTCTGGGGTGAGGGACTTCCCCTTCCCCTGTTCCCTTAATATTCTCTGTCCTTGCACCATGCTTTGACATGAGTGCCTGAGCTCACTCTATCCTAGCCATGTTGGCCTCTTTTTCTGTTTCTCTGATATGTTTCACCTCAGGCCTTTGCAGCTGCAGGAAAACCTTCTTGCTTCTGTCAGATGTCACACCTCACTGTCACCTTTGACAGGTTTCCACTTTAATGCTCTGCTATAGTGAGGCCTTCCCTGACCAATCCACATAGAATGATAACCCCACCTCTACCATCCCTGGTTCCCCATTTCCTCGCATTTTCTCCATATCATGTATTATTTGTCTATACATTTTACTTATTTGCTTTATTTTTGTGCCTTCTGACCCCACAAGAAAGTAAGCTAATCAAACAAGACTGGTTTCTTTTTTTTTTTTTATAATTTTATTTATTTATTTATTTTTCTTTTTAAAAAAAAAAATACTATTCAGTTCTACATAACAGCCACAGATTTCCTTGTTCTCTCCCTTCCTGCCCCCCTCCCCTTCCCACCAGCCCAACCCCCATTCCCACCTCCTCCAGATCAAGGTCTCCCCCGAGGACTGAGATCGACCTGATAGACTCAGTCCAGGCAGGTCCAGTCCCCTCCTTCCAGATTGAGCCAAGCGTCCCTGCATAAGTCCCAGGTTTCACATCCAACTCATGCAATGAGCCCAGGATCTGGTACCACTGCCTAGATGCCTCCCAAACAGATCAAACCAATCAACTCTCTCACCTATTCAGAGGGCCTGATCTAGTTGGGGGCCCCTCAGCCTTTGGTTCATAGTTCATGTGTTTCCATTCATTTGGCTATTTGTCCCTGTGCTTTATCCAACCTTGGTTTCAACAATTCTCACTCATATAAACCCTCCTCTTTCTCACTAATTAGACTTCCAGCGCCTAGCTGTGGATGTCTGCATCCAGTTTCCTCAGTCCTTGGATGGGGTTTCTGGCACAACTATTAGGGTGTTTGGCCATCCCATCACCAGAGTAGGTCAGTCCTGGCTGTCTCTCGACCATTGCCAGCAGTCTTTTGTGGGGGTATCTTTGTGTATTTCTGTGGGCCTCTTTAGCACTTTGTCTCTTCCTTTTCTCATGTGGTCTTTATTTACCATGGCCTCCTATTCCTTGTTCTCCCTCTCTTTTCTTGATCCAGCTGGGATCTCCTGCTCTCTTTCCCTCGACCCTCGCCCTTCATTGCTCCCACTCATGTTCAGGCTGTTCATGTAGATCTCATCCATTTCTAGGTCATTGGGTGATCTCCGTGTCTTTCTTGGGGTCCTGTTTTCCAGGTGGCCTCCCTCACTGGTGATGTGAGTAGCAGTCCAGTCATCCTTGTTCCACTAGATGTGGAACAAGACTGATTTCTTTTTGGTGTACTTTATTTTCCTGATACTGAAGGTCAAGGCAAAGCCTTGGACATGCTAGTCAGGGTTTTGTTTTTTTTTGAACTGTTCCTACTATATCCCCAGTATCCCAACACGCATCAGACAAAGGAGTGTTCGGAAATTGTTGAATGGGTTTATCATGATGGCACACACATATGTAATCTCAGCAGTTCAGGAGCCAAAGTCAGGAACATAGGGAGTTTGAGGCTAGCATGGGTGATAAGGTAAATCTGAGGCCTCTTTTAGTTACATAAACAGACACTGTTTCAAAAAAAACAAGAGTTGAACAAACTAATAATACACATTGTATGCATGTTTTTATATACACAAAATATTCAGAGGTAAACAACTCCTTGCTGAATCTTGGATTTAAGGGCAAGAAATTCTGCTCCAAGCAGTGAGCCACTAGGACACTGAGTTCTCCAACTCCATTTTCTCCCAAAGATAAATCTGTTTTGTTACTATACCATTCCATCTATGGACATAAGACATTTTTGCTTGTATATCCTTGCATTCCTAGGGTCCCCCTCCTCCATGGTTTCCCTGTGCTAAGTAGGAAATATATTTAATTCATACCAAGTAATTAAGAGGGAGATTTGACTTTTTATTTTGTTTTGTATAATTGAGGAAGGTCTTGCTGTATAGTCCAGGCTGGATCAAACTTGCTGTACAGTCCACGCTGACTTAGAACTCCTGATCAAAGTGCTGAGTTTGCTGACATGTGTTGCCTCAGCTACCCCTGAAGAGGGTTTATAATGCAGGATTTGGGGGCTGTGACAGCTGTACATGTCAGCACTTCTGGTGTTATCAGGCACTGATCAGCATCCTCTAAGTTACAGCCCTGCACATGCATGCTGTGGGATGTTCTGTATGTCCTATGGGAGCCTGTACTCGGGTTCCTCGTGGCTTTACCCAGCAGGTCCACATAGAGGATGATTAGGACCATGGGCCTGAGTGCAGGTGTCTGAGATGGTCTGCACTTGGCTATGCTGGGGATGGTCTGTATGTCAAGTTGCTCTGATTGGTCAATAAATAAAACACTGATTGGCCTGTGGCTAAGCAGGAAGTATAGGCGGCACTAACAGAGAGGATAAATAAAAGAACAGGAAGGCAGAAGGAGTCACTGCCTGGAGCCGCCACCAGGACAAGGAAGATGTAAAGTACCAGTAAGCCACAAGCCACGTGGCAGGGTATAGATTTGTGGAAATGGATTAATTTAAGCTATAAGAACAGTTAGTAAGAAGCCTGCCATGGCCATACAGTGTGTAAGCAAAATAAGTCTCTGTGTTTACTTGGTTGGGCGGCTGTGGGACTGGCGGGTGACAAAGATTTGTCCTGACTGTGGACATGATATATGCATGATATATGGTATCTTTATGGGCTTTCACTCTAGTCAGAGAAACTCGCTATGAAATAAAAAGTTACCAAGAGGAAGTTGTGTTTTTGTGCAGTGTTTCTGAACAGAATGTCCATGTGTAACCTAATGGAATTGTTAAATTACATTTCAGAAATATTGTTGCATTATGATTTTCATAATCTCACCTCCTGGACAAGCACTGTATGCAGATCTACACTCTCAGTGCCTCTTATTTTATCATTAATGAATTTTCTTTTCTTCTTGCAATTTTATTCTTCAGATAATAAATATTTCCTAAACACTTAATTTGGAAAAACTCCAAAGTATGAAAACAAGTCAACCTATGTTCCTCTGTCTACAGGTAACAGGCCAACTCAAGCAGTGTAATAATGTTCCCAGTAGGGAAATGTGCAACTGCACAGAACATCAAAAGTTTTCACATGCTGTTGCTTTCTCAGACTGCAAAGAAAAGGTAAAACAATTTGTAATTACCTAATGATGGAGTTTTATGTAAATGTTCATGTTTTATGGAAAGTACACATATGACTACAAATAAGACTCTGATTTTAGACAACATATAGGGTTGGGCATAAAGTTAGCAGTCAGATATCATGGTGGTTGTCACTTTACACACTAACTTAGATTAGTATTTCCTTTGTTATCTGTGTGTGGATGTGTGATGTGGTGTGCATATTTGCACATATGCTGTAGTACATGTGTGGTATTCAGAAGACAGCCTTGGGTGTCAGTACTTACCTTCCATTTTGCTGTCACTTGTCACTGCACATGGAAGACAAGCTGTCCCTCAAGCTTCTCAGTGATCCCGTCTGTGCTTCATCCCACCACAGCATCACTGGAATTACAGACTATAAGTGGGTACTGGGATTCCAAACTCAGGTCCTCCTGATTAAACAGTGAGTGTTTCACCCAGTGAGCCATCTCTCTAGCCCTGTTCTTTTGTGGTTTTGAGATAGAGTTTTGATATGTAACCCAGGCTGGCCTTGAATTCTTAATCATCCTGCTACAACCTCCTAAATCCAGAAAGAATAATTGAGCATTTTCTACCTACTATACATTTCTTCAAGTCTCCCCTATAATTTATTTAACTCATTGTATTTGAGTTACAGAGAAGGCAGACTGAAAACCATACTGTTCTTTTTATTTAATTAACATTTTTCATTTATTTTATATATGACTATAATTTTCCCTCCCTCCTCTCCTCCTGTTCTCTCTCTTCCTCCCATCTATCCCCTTCCCCATCCAGTCCTCCTCAGTCTCCATTCAGAAATAGGCAGGCCTCCCATGGGAGTTAACAAAGCATGGCATATCAAGCTGAGGCAGGACTAAGCTCTTCCCCCTGCATCAAGGTTGAACAAGGTAATCCAGCATGGGGAATAGGTTCCCAAAAGCCAGCTCAAGGACCAAGGAAAGGTCCTGATCTCACCGCTAGGAGACCCACAAGCAAACCAAGCTACACAACTGTCACATACATGCAGAGGGCCTAGGTCAGTCCCATGCAGGCTCCCTAACTGTTGGTCCAGAATCTATGAGCTTTCAAGAGCTCAGGTCAGCTGTCATGACCTTGAACCCTTGGATCATACAATCCCTCCTCCCTTTCTTCAGCAAGACTCCTGGAGCTCAGCCCAGTGCTTGGCTGTGGATCCCTGCATCTGCTTCATTCAGGTACTGGATGAATGCTCTCTGATGACAATTAGGATAGTCACCAATCTGATTACAGTAGATTGTCAGTTCAGGAACCCTCTCTATTATTGTTAGGGTCTTAGCTGGGGTCATCCTTGAAGTCTACTGGGAGATTCCCTGGCTTCAAGTTCCTCCCTAACCCTGAAATGCTCCCCCATCAAGATGAATCTTTCATTACTCTCCCCCTCCATCCTGCTCCCAACCTGCCTCCCTTACCCAGCCTAAGCAACCTGCCCCCGCAAGTTCCCATCACCAACTCCCAACACTCACCCTTGGTTTACCCTAAGTAGGTCTTTTATTTCCCCTTCCCAGAGAAATCCATGCATCCCTCTTTGGACACTCCTTGTTATCTAGCCTCTCTGGGGCTGTGGATTATAGGCTGGTTATCATTTGCTTTATATATATATATATATCTACTTATGAGTGAGAACATACCATGTTTGTCTCTCTGGGTCTGAGTTATCTCACTCAGAATGATTTTTTTCTACTTTCATCTATTTGTCTGAAAATTTCCTAGGGTCATTGTTTTTTTCTTTTAATTAAGAAAATTTTTTCATTCATTTTACACACCAATCAAAGACCTCCTCTTCCTTTCTGCCACCCCAGCTTCTGACTCCCAACCTACTCCCCAATGTTCACCACAAGAAAGCAAGGGCCTCCCATGGGGAGGCACATCCAGTAGAGGCAAGTCCTCCCTCTGCCTCAAAGCGGTACAAGTTGTTCCATCATAGTTAGTAGGCTCCAAGAAGCCCACTCATGCACCAGAGATGGATTGTGATCGTACCGCCAGGGGGCCACCCAAGCAGATGAAGGTACACAACTGTCTCACCATACAGAGGGCCTAATCCAGTCTCATGCAGGCCCCACAGCCATTGATCCAACCTTCATTAGTTCCCACGAGTTTGGTTTGGTCATCTTTGCAGGTTTCCCCATCATGATCCTGATGTACTTGCTCATAGAATCCCTCTTCTCTCTCTTTGACTGGACTTCTGGACTCTGCCTGGTGTTTGGTTGTGGATATCTACATCTGCTTCCATCAGTCATTGGAGAAAGGCTCTGTGATCACAGTTAGGGTATTCACCAGTCTGATCTCTGGGGTAAGCCAGTTCAGTTCATGTACCCACTCCACTATTTCTAGTAGTCCAAGTTGGGGTCATCCTTGGGGTTTCCCTAGCACCAGGTTTGTCTATCCCCATGATATCTCCCTCAATCATGGTATCTCCTTCACTGCTTTCCCATTCCATCCCTGTTCCTGCTCAACCATTCCATTCCCTTATGTTCTCATACCCTATCCCCTACCGTCCATTGCCCACCCCTCATCCCCAACTTACTCAGGGAGATCTTATCTATGTCCCCTTCCCAGGGTGGTCCATGTATCCCTCTTTGGGTCTTTCTTGTTAGCTCCTCTGGAGTTGTGGGTTGTTGTCAAGTTATCCTTTGCTTTTCATCTAGTATCCACTTATGAGTGAGTAAACACTTATGAGTGAGTCTGGATTACCTCACTCAGGATGACATTTTCTAGTTCCATCCATTTGCCTGCAAATTTCATGGTGGTGTTGTTTTCTTCTGCTGAGTACTACTCCATTGTGTATATGTAGCACATTTTCTTAATCCATTCTTCAGTTGAGGGGCATCTAGGTTGTTTCCAGGTTCTGGCTATTATGAATGGTGCTGCTATGAACATAGTTGAGCATGTGTCCCTGTGGTATGATTGAGCATTCCTTGGGTATATGCCCAAGAGTGGTATCCTTGGGTCTTGAGGAAGATTGATTCCCAATTTTCTGAGAAGCTGCCACATTGATTTCCAAAGTTGCTGTACAATTTTGCACTCCCGCCAACAGTGGAGAAGTGTTCCCCTTGCTTCATATCCTCTCCAACATAAGCTATCTGCAGTGCTATGCTATTGATCTTACCCATTCAGACAGTTGGAAGATGGTATCTCAGGATCATTTTAATTTGCATTGATGACCCTGATGACTAAGGATGCTGAGCAATTCCTTAAATGTCTTTCAGCCTTTTGAAATTCCTCCTTTGAGAATTCTCTGTTTAGCTCTATAGCCCATTTATTAATTGGATTGTTCAGTATTTTGATACCTAGTTTCTTGAGTTCTTTATATACTGTGGAGATCAATCCTCTGTCAGATGTGGGGTTGGTGAAAATCTTTTCCCATTTTGTAGGCTGTCACTTTGTCTTATTTGCTGCTTCTTTTGCCTTACAGAAGCCTTTGAGTTTCAGGAGGTCCCATTTATTAATTGTTCTCAGTGTCCGTGCTACTGTTGTTATATTTAGGAAATGCTCTCCTGTGCCAATGCATTCAAGACTATTTCCTACTTTCTCTTCTGCTGGTCAGTGTAATTGTGTTTATATTGAGGTCTTTGATCCACTTAGAATTGAGTTTTGTGCACAGTGACAGATATGGATATATTTTCAATCTTCTACATGTTGATGTCCAGTTATGCCAGCACCATTTGTTGAAGATGTTTTCTTTTTCCATTTTACAGTTTTGCCTTCTATGTCAAAAATCAGGTGTTCATAGGTGTGTGGGTAAATGTCAGGGTCTTCAATTTGATTTCATTGTTCCACATGGCGATTCTTATGCCAATACCAAGCTGTTTTTATTACTATAGCTCTATAGTAGAGCTTGAAGTCAGCAATGGTGATGTCTCCAGAGGTGGCTTTGTTGTGCAGATTTTTTTTGCTATCCTGGGTTTTCCATTTTTCCAAATGAAGCTTAATATTGTTCTCTCCTGATATGTGAAGAATTGTGTTGGGATTTTGATAGGAATGGCATTGAATCTGTTGATTGCTCTTGGTAAATTGCCATTTTTTATATTAATCCTACCTGTTCAGGAGGATGGGAGATCTTTCCATTTTCTGATATCTTCTTCAATTTCTTTCTTCAGAGATTTAAAGTTTTTGTCATACAGGTCTTTCACTTGCTTAGTCAGAGCTGCCCCAAGGTATTCTATATTATTTGTGGCTGTTTTAAAGGGTGATGTTTCTCTGACTTCTTTCTAAGCCCATTTATCATTTGTACATAGGAGGGTTACTGATTTTTTTTTTAGTTAATCTTGTATCCTGCCACAATACTGAAGGTGTTTATCAGCTGTAGGAGTTCCCTGGTAGAGTTTTTAGTGTCACATATATGTACTATCATATCATCTGCAAATAGTAAAAGTTTGATTTCTTCCTTTTCAGTTTGTATCCCCATGATCTCCTTTTGTTGTTATATTTCTCAAGCTAGAACTTCAAGTACTATATTGAATAAATATGGGAAGAGTGTACAGCCTTGTCTTGTTCCTGATTTATTGGCATCAGTTTGAATTTCTCTCCACTTAATATAATGTTGGCTTTTGGCTTGCTATAAATTGCCTTTATTATGTTTAGGTATGTTCCTTGTATCCCTGATATCTCCAAGACCTTTATCATGAAGAGGTGTTGGAATTTGTCAAAGGCCTTTTCATCATTTAATGAAATAATCATGTAGCTTTTTCCTTTCAGTTTGTTTATATGATGTATTACATTGACAAACTTTCATATGTTGAACCATCCTTGCATCTTGAGGATGGAGACTACCCCACATCTGACAAATGGCTGATCTCCAAAATATATAATTTTTTGATGTGTTCTTGGAGTTGGTTTGCCAATATTTTATTGAGTATTTTTGCATCAGTGTTCATGAGAGATATTGGTCTATAATTCTCTTTCCTTGTTGCATGTTTATTTGGCTTGGGAATCAGAATAACTGTAGCCTCATAAAAGGAGTTAGGTAACATTCCTTCTGTTTCTATTGTGTGGAAGAATTTGAAGAGTATTGGTATTAACTATTTTTTTAAAATCTGGTAGAATTCTGTGTTGAAACCATCTTGTCCAGGGCATTTTTTTTTTTTGGTTGGGAGACTTTTAATGACTTTTTCTATTCTTTGGGGGTTGTTGGTCTATTTAAATAGTTTATCTGGCTTTGATTTAACTTTGGTATGTGGTATCTATCAAAAAAATTGTCCTTTTATTTTAGATATTCCAGTTTTGTAGAGTACAGGTGTTTGAAGTATGGCCTGATGATTCTTTGGATTTCCTCCATCTCTGTGGTGATGTCTCCCTTTTCATTTCTGATTTTGTTAATTCAGATGCCTCTCTCTGCCTTTTGGTTGGTTTGGATAAGGGTTTATCTATCTTGTTGATTTTCTCAAAGAACCAACTCTTTGTTTCATTGATTCTTTGTATTGTGCTCTTTGTTTCTATTTTATTGATTTTGGTTCTCAATTTGATTATTTCCTGGCCTCTATTCCTCCGGGGTGAGTTTGCTTCTTTTTGTTCTAGAACTTTAGGTGTGCTGTTAAGTCACTAGTGTGAGATTTCTCCAACTTCTTTATGTGGGCATTTAGTGCTATGAATTTTCCTCTTAGCACTGCTTTCACAATGTTCCATAACTTTTGGGTATGTAGTACATCCATTTTCATTGAATTATAGGAAGTCTTTAATTTCTTTCTTTATTTTTTCCTTGACCCATTGGCATTCAGTTGAGCATTATTCATTTTCCATGAGATTGTAGGATTTCTGTAATTTTTGTTGTCATTGAAATCTAACTTTTAACCATTGTGGTCCGATAAAATACTGAAACTTTTCCCAATTTTTTTGTATCTGTTGAGATTTGCTTTGTGACTGAGTATGTGATCAATTTTAGAGAAGGTTCCGTGGGGTGTTGAGAAGAAGGTATATTCTTTTTTGTTAGGGTGCAGTGTTCTGTAGATAAAAACTGAGTCCATTTGAGTCATAACATCTTTTAGGTCCCTTATTTCTCTGTTAAGTTTCAATCTGATGAAAGTGTGGTGTTGAAGTCTCTCACTATTAATGTGTGGGTTTTGATGTGTGATGTAAGCTTTAGTTGTTGATGTAATTCTAAATGGTCTTATTAAATAAGAAACACAGAGCCAAATAAAGAGTTAAAAGCCCAAGAGGTCAGAGCACTAGCAAATAGCCT